TGTCTTTGCTATTTGTTCCACGTGCATATTTTTATACAATTATTTATATTTTTAAATCTTGATCTTTTGATTGAAAAAATTATGAACGAGTGGATTTTTCTAGTAATTTTGTGATTAGGACATTAGTTATATAATTGAGTCTTATTCTTGAGGAAAGATAGATGGAAAAATCGTAACAACAAAAAACAAAAGAAAACAGTGGAAATTACGAAATCACAAATTAGGATTGTTACAACGCTTTCATAAGTTTTGACAATAATTGGATTACAATTGACAACATTTTTTTTTTTTACAAAATACTTGATTTGCAATTTCTCTAAAATAATTCAATTTGAGTTGATTAAGAATATTATTTAAATTAGTTAATATGATACTACTTCCGGTCCTAATTATAAGACTCAGTTTACTAATTTAGAGATATTAAGGAATTTAGTTAAATTAGTTACTGGTTAAAAAATATCACCTATTTTCCAAAAATACCCTTATAAAATTTAAAAAAATAGCCCCGCACAATACCTAATCGCCCTTACCAAATCTCAATTTGACAGCACTGATTGATCTCTTTGGATTTTCAATTTCTAATTTCTACTTTGTGATTTCAGATTTTTGTTTTTTTTTAGCTGAGATTTCAGATTTTCTTGTTTTTATGAATTCATTGCATTCTTCCAACAGCTTCAAACCTCCACTTGACAGCAGAGACCGATCTCTTATTCTAGACTTTTGATTTCCAATTTTTGGTTTGTGATTTCAGATTTTCATCGATCTAAGAACTTCTACCGTTCGATGTGTTTTTATTGATTCAATGTGTTTACTTAAGATTCATTCACATATTTTTGTCTTGATTGTCCTTTTAGTGTCGCCGATAAGATTACTAGCTTATCTCCCTAGAAGTGCATGTGGCATCCTACTTGCTTGCTATAAATGGTCGCTGCTGAGAATCAATCTCACTCAATGCCCACAAACTTGGATTTGAACAGTGAAGGAATTGGTGAATCCAAAACAGGTGATGGCATTAATATGATTTTAGGACTTTACAGCTTATTGTTATCTTAATCAAAGACTAAGAACTTTTTGAGCATAATTAAGTCAATAGTTTGATTACTAATTCTATAATCACTTCGCTTTTATGTCATTAATTTGGTTACTAATTTTGTTGCCTTGAGAGAGATAACTTTCAGGTAAGTTTCTCCTGGACCTAAACAAACTGCCTAGTCAATTTCAGGAAGTGGATTGGAAGTTCATTCAGTGGAAATTTCAAACTTTGAACATGATGCTGAACAACGAATGGAACACATTCATGCACCCGAAACTAATGGTACCCAATTATATCTTTAGATTGACATTGCATTCGCATGACTTGGAATATTTTTATCTGTATTTTTGTTATATACGGTACAATTATTACTTGCATATATATATATATATATGCTACTACTACCCCATCACTAAGTTTTAATTTTATCTGCTTCATTTATTATTTTGAGACTATGACTTCTATGGTAATCATATCTATATAAATAGAAGTCGTGTTCTGCTCTGAGTTCTGCTTGTTTGGCTTATTCTTTGCAATGAAAGGGGATATCCTCTTTCTCTTTCTATCTATCTGTGTCGTCATCTTTTTGTTCTTGGCTAGTAAGAATAATTGAGCTGCCTACAAAGTTGCATGGTAGAAATCATGAAGGAAAGAGGTTCTAATAAATATGATATTCCACATATAAGAAAAGAAGTCATGGAAAAGGAAGGTCCACTACCAAATCAAATATAAGTGTGATCCAAAGTTAGTACAAGAAGTGATGAAGTAATTGAGGTAATTTTTTCTTTCTTTGAGTATTTCTTCTGTTTTTTTTTTTTGGTCTTGTTCTTTTGGTTGATATGTATGCATGGTGCTTAAATTTTGTGTGTTGGACAATTCATAGCTGTGGCAATATTGAATGATTCGATGGCAAACTGGCCTTTGGCTTCAGCTACTAACTGTTGCAAAAGAAGTATTGTGTGTACTGAGCACTATTTAGTCCTTCAAATTAATGAAATCTACCATATTATATTATTTGATGGTTATCGTTTCTGGAGAATTTACAAGTTCACAAAGTTCATCTAACAATTTTTTATGTGGTTTGTAGATTTTTTTTTAAGAATAAATTATTCATAGATTTAAAATGATTTTTTTTACAGTCATAAGGCGCCAGTTTATAAATTTAAAATAATTTTTTAATGACTAAAATTTCATTTTTCTATTATTTTCTTTCTTAGTTTGTTTTCCAGATATAAATTAATCTTTTAAATATTTTTCATTGCGATTTAAACAGTGATGGTTAAAATCTAACAATTTGAGTTATTTATTTATTTTTAAAGTTTATTAATATATTTATAAAAATATTGAAAATAACCCAGTCAAATTTTAATTCAATAGTTGAAATGAGAAGTGGAGAGGAAGTAGAATTTCTCCATGTGTAATAGTATTTATTTGAATTATTATGGTAGTATTTAATTATAGTTAATGGAATATAAAGTAAGGGTAGTTTGGGAAAAATATAAATATGAAAAATAAAGCGGATTGGGATCTTCTATTTAGGACCAAACTAAAAGTGAAACTAGCTCTTATAATTAGGACTGGAGATAATATTTTTTTTTCTAAAACATCCTAATCATCTTCTTTTTTTTTTTTTCCTTCCAGTACTCCTACATAATTATTGTTGAGAGAATATCAATAAAGTTAATTTGAAAAAAATTGAGAAACATATGAAATATGTCTTGCATATAGGACTAATATCAACTTTCAAATTAGGTCCTACATTAAGGATATGAGGAGTACAAATTAAGATAAATGTAATTTTTTAATGATTTTTGGGTTTGAATATTGGCACTTGCCAGCTTGATCTCTCTCGACAAAAGTTCATGAACTTCGCCAGGATGTTTAAAAATTTCTCCCCATACAATTCATGGGTTGGAATATTAATTTTTAAAACAATTATGGAGAGCAAATATATTTACATTTAAATATATTGATAGAATAGATTGGGGAAACATGTTACATTACCATTGGTTAATTATTAGTACATATCTGATAGATTTTTTTTGGCTAATGGTCATCAGTACAAACTAATAGCTATGTAACACTTAAGCATGATTAAGGTGTTACATTTTTCTATTGAAATATAAGCATGCTGCACACCTTAAACATGATGCACTATATTTCAATAAAAAAAAATAAAAAATGTCAATTGCTTTATATTATTGTAATTTATAGCTGTAGATACTCTTTTATAAATATTTTAGGGCAAAAATTTGAAACACTTCAGAGATGAAAATAGCTTTTAACCTAAAATTAACAATACATTAACTAAATATTAAATATTATAAATAAAAAATGGGGAAAGTTAGTTTTTAGGATAATACTTATGTTAATTTTCTTATATTGATTATATCAAGTTCTCCACATGAAATAAAAAAAGACATATGACCGTATATGATTGAAAAATTTGACATAATAGATATAAAAAATTTGACATAAGTTTTCGTTTTTTTTTTTTAAATACCCCTCAAGGACATGAGTCCTCAATCAGTTTTCAGGCAATAAATTTTGTAATTGATGCTTTTTCAGCAATTTTTCCTTCTTATTATAATTATAAATTAAATTAAAGTCATAATTAAGAAAGTTTATCAGTCTAACTACGTCGTTTAATTTATGGTAGATCGTAGCCGTTCAAGCAGTGGAAAAATCGAGTTCATCTATTCAACTCTATCAGTTTCTTCTGTCGTGGCTCTCGCGAGTCTCGACGAGGGCGGCTTCTTTTCTTCTCCCTCTCCAGAAATGTCTCGTCGACGGTTTATCCGAACTGATTCACCAGCAGGTTCTTGTCGCGGGTTTTCCCTCTCCGTTCTTGTTGCCGTTCTTCGATATGATGTTTTAGATCGTTTTGCTTAAGTTGTGCTGTGAGTCGGTGTAGTCCGAAAAGTAAAAACCTGGAAGCATCTTGAGCTTAGAGAATTTCGAAAGTTTAAGTCGGTGTAGTCCAAAAAGTAAAAATCTGGAAGCATCTTGAGCTTGGAGAATTCGAAAGTTTAAACGATCTATAAGCATTCAACCTTCTTAAGTTTTTTTTTTTTTGGTGATTTCCCTTTTATTTTTCTCTTCGCATTTATTGGAACAATAATTGTAGGACGAATTTGAATTTTAAACCGTATTTTTGGAAGTTATTGTGTTGGCAACGCTTTGAACGTTGATTTTCTTGCTTGTTGAGATCTTATAGTCTATAAAAGTTAAGCATATGTATATTATCAAACTTAAATAAGGAACTTGACCAGTAGTAGCTGAAATTCTCGTCCATGTTTTAAACATGGTCGCGGCCACACATCTAAAGGCTCGAGGCTTGTGATATTACCTTTAAAATCAATGCAATTGAGCGAAGAGCTGGGTAAGTTGTTTGAATATCAGTTGGTTCTGGTTTAGAGTCTATATTGTCTTGAGCCTACCAAGTTAAGGTTGCCAGTCATGCTGTATAGATTCCCATATTTGAAAGTTCAACTTTTGTTTGAATATTCTTTCTACCTTTTCTTTTCCTTTATCAATTTACTTGCAAATTAAAACTAATTCCCTTCTCTATTTTGCAGCACAATACTCGATTTCTTCAACAAATTCTTCAAAATAGGAAATCAAATTTTCTAGAGTGGCTTATTAATCATTATTGCACTGACTGGTGGCAAGATTCTTCTCTTTGTATGGTTGATGTCATTTTAGGCTGAATGTGAGCTGCAAATAGGAGGGCTGGCAACGAGAGAACCCAAGCGACAATGATTCTGTCTTTACTAAAATTTAAATTTGAAGATTTTGTTCTTTTCCACCTTTAATGCATTAACACTTTGTATTTTACTAGAATTTGCACTCGATTCCTTCTATCTACGATACTTTTCTATTTGATCAACCTTTTGGATTAGTCACTGGAGCCCTTAGCATCATGGCATCCAAGAAGAAGCAATACTAGGGTATTGCTTTGCTATCCATGTACAAAGATGAGGAAGATGACGAGATGGAGGATGTTGAAGGAGGAATAGAGGGAGGAGAGCGACAAGAACAGGATGGTGGGGATGTGAGGATTGCAGAGGAAAATCTAGAGAGTGATGCTGAGATGATGAGGATCGCTGATTCTGCTAATAAGGCTACTCTACTGGCTGAAAATGATGGGATGACCCCGGAGAAGAGCAAATTTGGGACTTCAATGCCACCACAGCCTTTGGTTGATATGTTGGTTTCACAGCAGGATCAACAAGTAGTGTCTGTTGAATCTAGGAGGAGTAGGAGAGGGACAATTACCATTGTAGACCGTGGTCATGATGAAATAGCAATGTCACCTGAGCCAGAGTTACTCTCTCTTACTTGAATCCACCCCTGTTTTTTTTCGTAGGACTGAGGACACGGCAATTTTGGTATACTATATTTGTCTTCTATACGTTCCTTCATCATTATTTTCTTCCATTGATGGAGTCATGTCTCTTAAACTTGAAAATTGCCCAAAATGTTTAAGACCCTGACGTTACCTTAGGCACCCTGGCCTTGCCATATTTTCCAGGCAGGTTACCTTCTACTAGGAAACCATTTTCTTCTTCTTTATTTTAGGTTATAAGTTAATAACTTATATTTGGTTCTGATATCAGGATGGAGGGCTTGATGGTAATGGTCGACTCATGTTTGAGGAAAAACTTCAAACAACAAATGGTATTTCCCCTTTTGATTAAAGTATGTTCTGCTAAATTTATTGTATCCTTTCTTTGGACACCTCATCCCACTATAGGTTATTCTCAGAGAATGAATATTACTTGATTAATTTGTTGGCCGTAAAGAAGAATATATCAATGTCATTGATTTCTTTTTGGAACAGAAGAATTTAAAATTTTGACCAGTAATCTGTTCTCTCATTTGGCCAAAAAGTCTGTTCTTTCTAGAACTTGTATAGACAGTTTTGGTAAGATAATTATGAATATGAGCTAATAAATCTGAACTGTCATATTGATAAGGTAATAAACATATAAAACAGTTAAAATTAACTTCTACATGAAATGTATTTAATCAAGAACGATTATTCAACTGACCTTTTATATGCAATTTTTTGCCTATATTTGATTGTTTAACTGTTTAGTTCTGGATAATTGAAGTGCATAAGAGTTTGTATGAGACTATTAATTTGAGAATATGCCAATCTTTTGGACTCTGGCTGGGTATTTAAGAATAAGATTATTGAAAAAGAGGCTCGGACATTATGTTGGGGTGGTTTTAGTTCACTTTTCCCTGAAGTATATTAGATGGGAACAATCCTATTGTTTATGTTTTTCTGTTTATCATCTTGCCTCTTGGTCCACTGTTTTTTCCCCTCTGAAGAACTTCCTTGAATGTGGTTTTCTAAGTGATTTGCTAGATGGAGCATCATCAGGATCTGTTCAGGTTTTGACACCTAGTAGTCAAGTTAACACTCCTTAGTTTTCTGAGCCATCTCATACCATGCAAGTTGATGCTGTGGCTGGATCAGATGGTGCAAAACATGAAGAAACAGCTCAGGAAGAGCAGAAGTTTGTAGATCCATTGGATAGATTTCTTCCACCACCACCCAAAGTTAAATGCTCTGAATGCCTACAAATAAATTCCTTTAGATTAATTTTGCAATAATCAATAGATTATTCTCGATAGATTTTAGATATGTGCTAATTTATTGAATTGAATTGGTGTGCTTTGCTCCCTCCCCCTAAAAGAAAAACAATGATTGTGTGCTTGTGTAGTTTGATGTCTTTTTCCCTTTCTGCTTTGTGCCACACCAAAGCTTCGCTTTTAATTTGCTATGGCTCTTTAAATTCTTAAGCTTCTTATCCATTAATTTTATTATTTTCATATGTTAGTTAGTGAATATGATTAAACCAATTTGGCGATACTTTGGAAGAGTTGTAATGCAATATTACACTCTAATCTCTTACGACTTCCAGTCCTGTTTAGTGATTGTGCATATATGTAATGTAAACTACACGTACATACATAATTCTAAGGTCCTGTAGAAGCACTTGAATATAGTGATCTATGTTTAGAATTTTGGCATTGAAATTTTTGATTAAGTGTTTTAGTGTGAGAATCTACCCGTCCAAAATGAATTTAAGGTGTAAAAGTGTGGAAATCACTCATCTTGCGGGGTATTATTCGATGAATTTCGGCAGCTGCTCTTGTTTAATTACTAAGTGGTGATATATGGTTTGATTCATTAACATGTTCCCTTTAATATGAATTCAAGACTTATCATTTCAGATATTACTAATTTTGTGATTAAATCATTGAATTATGAAAAAAGTGGTAATTTGCTAATACTTCTCTGTATCAAGTTTTTTGACCACTAAACATCTCATTGAATGCACCTTATATTATTATATTTTCTTACTCCCTTCTTGACATTCTGTACATGGGAAGTTGAATGATCATCACTTTACTCCTTAATTAGTACACTAGCATTTTAGCAGTTTTAAGTAATAGTTTAAATTAAAAAATAATTTCCCTCAATTTTTGATAGAGTAGAAAATTGTATAAAACTATTTTTAGCTTTTGCATATTTGTTGTTCTTTCATGACAATGTGCTGGAAAAAGTTTTAATGTAGCAGTTCGCAATAGGAAGGACTATCAGAACCCTGACTTCCTATTGCATGCTAGGAGGTATCAAGATATTGACCAAATAGGATCTTGATTTGATAAGGATGTATTGGACCCTCATAGATATGACCCAAGTGACTACTACGACCAAGTAGGTGCTTAACTGTTTCTTCTCTGCATCTACTTTCTTGTGCTTCCCTGTACTTGTTTATTTTATGCTCATATTTTACCTGATGTTGTCAATTATATGATACTTCTTGTGTGTTCTTGCAAACAAATATTTCATGTGTGTCATATTCTAGATATACTGCTTGCTGGTATTTGGGCTGTTTAGGCTATTATTGTTCGCTATACTAACAACGGACTTGATATCTGGTATTAAAGAACTTGTTTGTCTTCTAACCTGATGTTGAAATTATGTTTTGCCGTTGGATTGTGTTTTTTCTCTTCAAAAGTCCTTTTGATAATATTATTTACGCTGAAATGGACAGCCAACATCTATACATGGCTGTGTATGGCTAGTTATATCTGCTTTGGGGTTCTTTCTATATTTTTTATGAATATGTTGGTCATGATTTTGGAAGTTAAATACTAGCCTAGTTTAAGTTTTCATTGTGAATTTAACCAACTTATTTGTCATGCCATATTTTGTTATTTGTTCATATTTTTCTCAGCACCATCAGATCATTAAGGCCGACTTTCGTCCCTACTTGACGGATTGGTCTTGCAGTCAAGCTCTCTTTAAGTACTTGATACTGATGTTGCTTTACCACCCCTAACTGTCACATAGGCAGATATGAGACGTGGAAGTGACAAGAAAGAGCAGGAGAAGAAAGCCCAGAAAGTTGAATTTGCCTCTAGGTGAGCACAACCAGGAATTGTAACTGGTGTTCCAAGGATCAATGTACCCGTTGCAAGTTATAAAGCAACCTAGTTTACCTATGGTATGGCAAAGGTCATTCTTACTACTGATTTTCTATTTTATGCTGATTTTCTCTCTTCTCTCTTCAGGTGGTTTGCCTTTGATGCCTCCTATTGCTGAGGCCACCAATCGTGATGGTAGACTGAACAAAAAATCAAAATGGGACGAGGTATTCATTTAAACAAATGCACCAACACATGCAACTTGCTTCAAATTTTTACACAATATTTCAGTGAATAATAATCCTGTTTAGGTGGATGGGGAAGGATTCTGTGCCTACTCACGCTGCAATTTTGCTGCTAATGCTGGTGATGGGTACATGCATTTTGTGTGAGATTATGAATAACTTTGAGCTTCTTTATGTATTCCAGAATGAGATGTGTTTGATACTATGACCATTGTTGTAATGTTGGACAGGCAGCAAAAACGACGAGAGGTGGAGGAGAGAAGGTCAACTGAAAGGAAGGAAAGAAGGTCATGAGCTCCACTCATTTTGGTCTGTCAAACTAATACCTCCAACCATTTTGAAGTCCTTTAGATTGAAGTCGACAAAAATGTTTGTCTATTCAGTAAGTTTTGCTAAGTCACCATTCTATATATCATGAAAGGTGGAAAGGAATAGTGTTGTGGTTATCACTGCAGGATTCAGTCAGCTAAATGGTTGGTTTTATTTTGTTTAACATTTCTTACGAGCACGCTCAATCAGGATTTCGAGTAGGATTGTCATTCCAGTTGCTTGCGACAGTACAAAATGCACCACTGATTTGCTTTTTAGTGGTCTATGTATAAGCTTTTCTTTTTTATTTTTTTGGATAATTCTTAATACATGTGAGAGAGTATATAAGTGACCTTTTTACATTAAAAATGATGTTTTGGGTTTTTAGTTGTCAGTGTGAATGGCGCAAATGGCATAAGCAAGTAAAGTGAAAGATAAAATAAAGGGCATCAGGGAGTAATTTTGTTAACTAATATCAAGAAAGTAAAATATGGTGAATTTAAATGCTAGATGTTTCATTCATTCTAGCTAACAGTTTAATATTTGACCTAATAGAGTTATTTTCATTATTGCCTACCATTATCCTTTGAAATTTGGACCGTAATAGATAGATTGGTATGATTTAAATCTTTAAATTGGTGTGAAAAAATAACTCATCTCTTATCTAGCTTGCTTGTAGTTAAGTCCTAGTCAATTACACAATGTAATTGATGGACACAAACCTTATATCTAATTTCATTTATTGTTTTTCTGTGCCTTCACAGATCATAAAAATAAATATTGTTTCATACAATGATCAAGAACTCAATGGTCAATTGTGACCAATCTCATTGAACTAATTAATAATCTTTATAACACAATTAAGCAAACCACACAGATGTTGAATGAAAGCTTCACAATCGCAACAAACCAATTTGAGTATTTCATACATTAATGAAACAAACCACGCTTTGGGTAGAGTTTTGTCATGCATCACCCCATTGTTTATGATAAAAATAGAGTCTCATTTATCAAATAATTGAGAATTCAACAAAAGCATCACCGCACAAATCTGTCCATATTCATCATCTTGTAGTCAATGATTTTGTAGTCCACAGTTCGGATTAGCCGCCTGCATTAATCAACCAAGCAAGGGAACGAAGGCTATTGAGTGTATTCTACATATATTCATGTTATCAAATATAATTCATTTTATAGTCAATGCGTCAAAATGCCTTATTTGTTTTCTTATTTTGAGAGCCGTTTTTTGTTTTTAAAAATAAAAAAATTAAAAAGGCTTATTTTGTAATTTGTTGTTAATTAAGTGTTTTTAAAAACCAAAAAACAGAAGTATTTTTAAAAACTCAAAAACAAAAACAACTTTTAGTTATTTTCTTGTTTTTGTTTTCACATTTCCTTTTTTTTTTTTGCAAAAATTGGAAAAACTTTTTCTTCTCCGCTTGATGGCTTTTTTCTCATTTAAAAACTTGAGTTCTCATTAAAACTTCACTTTCCAGTCTCAGTATGTTTATGTTCAAATGCAGTTTTTTGAAGCAATTAACCAAACAGATTTTTTTTGTTTTCAAAACTTGTTTTAAAAAACCATTTTATAAAACTATTTTGAGGAAAAAAATAAAAAAAACAGAAACAAACAGCCCCTCTGTTTTTGTCATTCTATTTTGTAAATATATATATCATATTTAGTTGAAAACATGTGTTAAATAGTTGGGGTAAACAAATTATCAAAATCATCCTTTTTGAAATACACAGCTGTTTCTTTTCTTCTTAATCACAGTTGACTTTTTAAAATAAGCAAAAGTGATTCACTAACTCAACCGATACTATACAGAGAGAATGTACAGAAACAAAGAAAAATTTTATAAAAAAGTTAAAAAAAAAACAACACACACACACTCACTCACAAAAAGATGGCTCCCCTGTTTCATCCTTTAATATGTAGCAGTTGTTGATATTATACTAACTACTATTGGAAAAGAAATTGAAATAAACTTCAACAAGCAACTCATATCTTTTAGTGATAGTAAAGCACAGACAAATGTAGCAAAAAGATACAAATAATTTAAGAAAAAGAAAAAATTTGGCGTATAGGGAGAAAAAAAGAGATGCAAGTTTTTTTATTTTCAAGCTTGTCCCCTCATATATGAGGCTTTTATTGGTATCATAATAACCACTAGGAAAAAAAAAAAGCCGATAAGCAGAAAAATCATAAAAGTAACGAACCTGGAAAGAATGATAACATGGATGATGGACTTATCCTTCTATATATTAACACTATCCTGCAATAACAAATCATAATATTAGCTGCCTAAAATAGAAGGTAATTTTGAAAAGAGACGTCATTGGCATAAGCACGATACAATCAATTTTCTATTTCCTTGGTCATTAACAACACATTTTCCGAAACAATATTTGTTAGTGTGGGTATGTCATACCTTTGCTGAGGATAGCATTTCTACTGTTTTGTTAAGGTCTTCTTTATCCTTCCATTTCATCTCATGCTCTTCTATTTTTACTCTAGACAACTCTGGTGTTTCCAACACTCCTGGACAAAACATCTTCATTTCATGACATCCAGTTATTTCTATCACTTCTAATTCAGGGAATTCAAATGTCTGACTTTGTGAAGAGAACATCTTCAAGCTTGGCATATCAGTAAGTTCAATCCGCGTAATCGGTTGAGAGTGATTCCACCTTCTACACCTTCATTGTTCTCATTCAATACAATTTCCTCCATTTTTTTACAATCGTTTATCCCCAACCATTCAAGACTCACCAAGCTTTTGGCAGTTGAACTTGTCACCAAATAGACGAGTTGATGGCATCCAGATATAGACAGCTTCCACAAATTTTGAAATGAAGCAGAGGATGGTGCCAACTTGACCAAGCTATGACAACTTTCGACTTCCAGGCATTTTATTAGGTCTTGATGAATTGGTGGTAGCTGAGAGTCATCCTTCCATATGCTCTTGAGTTGATCCAAATAGGCAATGTATAATCCTCAAATGGTGGGATTTTCCCCATAAAATCGATAATCTCATCTTGTGGGGGGAATACCTCCTCAAAGGAACTATTCTCCACATAAAGCTTTTTCAACATGGGAAATCTTTCAAGGGAACTATAGGGAAAGGTTACCCCTTCATCCTTGAAGCTTTCTACATAAAGAGTTTCCACTTCAGGAAAGACATCCCTTATCATCGTGACATTCTCTGCATTTAAAGCCATGCTTTTGGTTGTGGAAATTACCTATAAAATGATAATTAATAAAACAATTAGCATAATGAGTAGGCGATTTAGTAGATTACATCAGGATATTGTTTTCAAGAATCAACTTTTTAAATGGATCACTCGTCTTTTGCCAATATCTAAATTTTCATCATTTCACCATGAAATAAGATCCACACATTAAAATTTAAAAAATCCTTTAAATTAACTTCATAACCCCCTTTCTTTTCTCTAAATCAAATTAAAAAAAAAAAACCATAATCCCCTTCGAATTCACATTTAAGGCTAGGCTTTTTTGACTATGAAAATAACCTGTAAAACGATTATTGGTAAAATTATTATTATAAGAAGGCAATTTAATAAATCAGGTCAGAATATTTTTTAAAATAATAATTTCTTATATAATTGTAGATAAAATCTTTCTTAATTGACCTGTCATCTTTTTCTAATACTTATATTTTTCATCATTAATTCCCCCTCCCCTCCTCAAAATCACTTTAAACAGAAACAAAATTCTTTGAATCACTTTATAGGCCCATTTCTTTCCAGTCAGAGATCTACAAACATTATCACACTATTTGCAGTCTGCCACATCCGTTAATTATCATTTGCTTGTCAGCTTTCGCGTGCAATCAGGGTCTTGTAATTTGATGAAAAGTTTACAATTTTTGGGAGATGACGGAATGTACAAACTTTAATATTTATGTCAAATATTTATCTGAACCTAAATTTTGTAGATGATGAGGAATTATTTAAAAAGTGAAAAACAAGAATATCAGTATGTTGGACTAACCTCTTGAATAGTAAACCGATGTTGGATGGTGGCATTAAGATCAGTCATCCAAATATCTATGTGAGGTCCATATTAGTCGTCACTGAACCTTTTGAAGCAGCGGGGCATGAATGGCTCCAGAACAGAATATTGTGAGTTGAGGGCACTCTGTTACGATGGCACATTGTAATAATGGAAACTTGAAAGTATAATTTTGGCTGCAAAATCTCTTCAACCTTGGTAATCCATCAAGTTCCAAAAACTCCAGTTTGCTGAAAATGATTTTCTTGTCCTCATTGTCCTCTTTTTTCTGTTTCGTCATAAGTTCTTCTATTTGATGGCATGAACCATCTAGTGAAGAAACTAAGTTTATTTCTCCTTGGCGGTCATTATTGCCCAACACATTCTTCAATTTTGGCAAATCTCTAGCCTTAACTTTTTCAATGGCACAATCACTGATGATGACACCATCTCTTTATAATCATTTAAATCTTCAAAATCAAACACCGTCTCCAACATGTTACAAAACTTGACTTCCAGTTTTCCAAGTTGTTTAAAGATTTCAGCACATGAAGGGGCACCAATTTCACAAAGCGACAGCACCACACAGTCAATGTTTTCAAGTTGCAAATGAGTGGTGTGGAAGTTTGTCATCCCATATCGGTGGAATCAAACTGTTTAAAGAGAATAATTCTAATATCTCTAACTTTGGGAATGACACCTGTTGAAAGAAAATATAATTAAACGAAAATGTTTTGGCAAAAAATGAAAACGAAGTTACTGTTGATTTGTGAGGCTTAGTTTTCATGAAAGATTGTTTAAATGTGCAAGTATAGCTCTCGTGTACCACAATATTCTTCAAGAGATTGATAAAAGTTCAACTTCAAATTTCAAGTTCACCAAACAGAAATAACTAACTAAAAAACAAGAGAACTATAAAATGCTACAATAGCTAGCCTAATACCAAAGTAAGTAATTTAAGTGAAATAATTTTTTAGATATATTGAGACAAGAAAAAATAAGAACATATTTTTACTGCACAGAGTAAATAATTCCAATGAAATTAATTTTCACAGCGTAAGTTTGAAATTAAGAAGTTAATAAAATAAGAAAATCTTGGTAAGGAAAGAATATACTAGATAAGAAAAAAATGAATTTTTGTCCAGAAAAAACAGTAATAAATTGATGGGTAAAATATTCTGCTTTTCCTTGTATTTTGCCCAATTACAAATTTTCTTCTATTTTGAAAACATAAACTTAAGTCCAAATAGTTAAATCTATTGAGAATATTCTAAAAAAAATACTTTTCTAATTAAAAAATACTTTTGATTTACAAATTTACCCTTCATAATACTAAATTCTTAAATTTTGGACTAAAAAGTTTTGAAAATTTTAAAATGTTTTTTTCCTTAATTTTTTTTCACTTTTTGCAGCTAGTTATTTGTTCAACGTTTTTATCATATTAGGATTGAAAATAAGTAATTTAGTGAGTGGAAATTTGGTTAATTCTTTAAATAAATATAATTGACTAAATAAGTTATAAATATTTCTCATTTGTTTAGAAATTTTATAAATATTTTTCATTTGTTTAAAATTTTAAACTATAAATTTAAATAATTTCTATAATCTATCAAACTTAGATAATCTATATTATATGACGAAAAGAATATGTATTCAACATATTTTTTAGCCATTTAAAGAAACCTAAAAAATTAATTTCAATATGCGTGACAAACAATTAAAATTATAAAATTTTAATAGAATTAAAATTAAAAATTTTATTACATTTTAAAAAGTCTGAAAATACATGTATTAAAATTATTTTTTGTGGTATTAAAAATTATTTTAAAAAAAATGAATGTTTAAATAACTTTTATGTGAAGGAGGGGTATTTTGGTCAAAATAAAAGTTTAAGGTCAAACTTAACTGTAACCTTACGGTTGGAAATATGGAAATGGAATTTCAAATCAAATATACAAGGGAGGTTTGTACAACATGTATTTTAATTTTAAGGGAGTTATATATATTTTTAAAATAAAGGAAGGTTTCTATAACTTAGATAAAACACAGGCTAGTTAGTATATTTTACTGTAAATTGATTTGAACATACCTTATGATTATTTGTTGCTGGGTCTTCAATGTTGAAATCCGTTTTATGCTCTTCCGCTTTCAATCTTGGTAGACTACTGAGTTTTAATCTTCTCAACGCACTGAACGTGATTCCACCTTCCACATCGTCATTATTCTCATTCTTTACAATTTTCTCCATCTTTTTGCAATCATCTATTTCCAAGTGTTTCAAGATTCACCAAACTTTTGGCGGCTGAATTTGTCATTAAATAGATGAGCTGATGACATCGGAACACCTTCACCACTGTCAAATTATGAAGTTGTTGAATTTGATGAACAATGGGTGATGGGAATATCTCCTCGAAAGAACTATCCTTCACACGAAGCTCAGTCAGCCGCGGAAATCTTTCAAGCAATGTATACGGAAATGTTACCCCTTCATAATCAAATCCTTCTATGCGCAGAATTTCCACTTCAGGACAACTGTCCGCTGGAAATTGGTCATTCCTTATCATGCTAACATCATCCTCATCTAACACCATCTCTCTTGATGCCACAAATCTCTGTAAAACAGATATTGAGTCAGAAGCATGGTAATATTAATTTATTAATTATGTCGCAACTTCTTATTGAATCAGTAATATTATTTTGTTTTTTTATTGTGTCCCAAGATCAAATGCGCTCACTAGAAGTGCGAAACATTTTGATTTCATTTATTTTTCATAATTAATCTTGGAAAAGAAATAATTATATCAGCCACGACAAAAAACAATAATGCCGACACATTTCGCTGTGTATCGCATTAATTATTAAATTATGACGTAATTGTTTGGGATATTTTATAATTAAAGTTATGTAATTAAAAAATGATAACTACTCCCCTCCCTCCAGTTCTTTTTATAAAAATTTGAAATTTGAATTGTCTTAGTTTTTTTTATAAGAGCCAACTTGGATTTGTCTGAACATTTAATGTGTTTTACCTTTTTGTCTCTAATTAATTTTATACATTGCATTAATTAAAAGGCTGACAACTTGGTATATTATCTTATCTTTCATATTTTTCTCATTATTACTCTATTTCTCTCTCTTACTTTTTCCCCCATAAATAAGGGTATATCTGGGAAAAAAATTCATTTCTTACTGAAACATTTCGCTGTGTATCCCATTAATTAATTAATTATGATGTAATTGTTTGGGATGTTTTTGGGATGTTTTGTAATTAAAGTTATGTAATTAAAAAATGATAACTAAAATTTTAGTAGAAACTTCAAAACCGAAACATGTATAGGTATATTTATATTAAATATCATAACAATGGAACATTTATAGATTCATATTTTTGTAAAAGCTGGAAATAGGAAGAATGGAGCATTCTAGACGTACCTGTTGGTAGAATGTTTTGTTAAGATTGGTGTCCCAAATTTCATGAGTTTTTCCCCCCTTTTTTGTGACACTTGAACGCCTTTAAGAGATGGTGTATCAATGAGTCCAGGAGAGAATACTTTGAATTTGGACATTCTGTTATGATTAGCTGATCCAATAACGGAAATCTGAAAGTGTAATTGTAGCGGCAAAATCTCTTCAATTCTGGTAACTGTTCAACTTTCAAATGCTGCAACTTGCTG